ACGATAGGACGTGACTGAGAATTTGTATTTCCGTTACAGCTAAACTGTATTTGCCTGAGAATTTTCAAGAATCAGAGTCGGAGAACAGACTAATTTGCGGTTCTTTTTCTCGATACGGATTAAAATCTGGTGTAAGAAATATGAATATTTATAAGAAACAATCTTCTAATGGGTTTATTGATAAGAAATAAGGAAAGGTTCGCTTCAGTAACCCCAAGAGTTCTGAGAGTGGCATCTGGCTGTACCTCCTAGTAATAAGTTATGAGCTGGGAAATTATGTGGTTCACGTAGCATGGGCAAACTAGAGGCGTCGCAAAACTTTGGCCAAATGTGGATTATGGCCGGGGCGTTGGGCGTGGTCCGCACCTTGCTACGTTTTGCACACTTCGTTCCACTCTGTAATTGAATGGACACTATGTCCTAACTAATCAACACTTTGAAACACCTTTACCTATGCAAAAGGGCATATAATATATTCTTGAGGCCGTAACTTCACAGGAGTTCTGAGAGCGACGATGTGGCGTCTAAATTAGATTCCTGATAGGTTTATGTGAATTTGTAATAATGTTTTCTTGTAACGAAATATCAAGTAAATGTGCTTCATAAACAGAGTAGCTACTTTTTCAAAGGTGCTCTTAGTCATTGTGTAACAACAGTTACGTAAGTGAGGCATTATAATATCCGTAATTATTTCATGAAAACGGACAGTATTATTCAATCATATCTAGTTGTTCACTTAATTTATTTTACTGTATACAATTATATAGGAAGTAATAGAGATAAAATAAAGCATAACACATTTCGGTACTGCAGCGGCCATTAACAGATTAAGGATTAACGGACACCACGGACTGTGACGAACATTTAGCTACTCGTATTAACGCGGTAAAAGGTATCAAGTGTCTTTAGACACTGTACCTAATAGTAGAATTACGAACTTAAAAAGGTTTCATTAAATTATTGGAACTGAATTGTACTTTTATAGATAGTTACGAGTATACGGTATTCTGCTGGAATTTTTTCACACGGGTCGCTCTACTATTCAAATCTAACATCAAAAATGCATCCCTGATACGACTCTATCGTGACATTTGCTGACAAGACAATAATTAATTAACTCTTAATTACTACCTACGTAATTGACACTATTATCCTGGAACTGGACTTAATACACAGGTGCATTAATAACCGGGAACAATTAATTGATTCCCGGTAAACTAACTGTTGTCCCTCAGAAGACATGCAATAATTGGATGGTCTGCCATACATAGATATCTACGATAATAATATGCATTTGAGGGTAGTGTGACAATCGTTACTCAATAATACCTGTTATAATACTATGTAATTTTATAAAGATGATATATAATATAGGTAATAACTTCGGACTTCAGAATATTAATGCTCATTACATTAATTTCTGCTCAGGATTTGAACCCACAGGAGTGTTGTAGTAAAACACTTGAGCAAGCAGCTGTCAACCAAATTAGATGTAACAGCTAATGTATGAACGGTAATCAGTAAGTCACGCAACTGGCAATAAAACGCGACGTTCACGTAAATGTAAATAGCTTATGAGCCAAAGCACACGATACGCTGCGTCGTCTTACATAGAAAAATCTGAGGCATACACGAGCGTTGCGGCGCCGCAACGCATCGTGTGCTTTGGCTCTAAGTAGAGTAACTGAAATGTGGGCTACTGGGATAGCGGACGCCTTTCCATCGGCCGTTCAACTAACACGCAATGACAGACGTGTTACGTGATTCGGCATCGCCGGTAGCTAATATCGTATGCATCGAAATTGTAATACCATTTGATTGTTAGGTTGTAGATCATTGTTTGTTGTAAGTGTGTATAAGATAATATACATAGAGGTATTTGTGTAGTTTTAATAAGTGCTATACGATTCTCATAATGAGGCTATTTATATGCAAAATCAAGATAAAAAAAGAATCGTAATCAAACAAACGATTACTTTTCCAAGCAATATAATGTTTCTTAGTTCATTAAAATTGAAACAACAAACATTTTCTTATTGTTCCAATTCTCGCTATTGGTAAGTATGCGCAAGAGCGCCTGTGATTAAGTGAAATTATTATGTGCGCTCGCGCGCCTTACGTAACGACTCGTCTTCCGGCTGCACTGGGTGGCCACGATGAAACCGTTCGCACTTTCCATATAGGTACCGTTTTTACACCTTTGCTCACTTTTGATTTCCATCTACCGTTTATTTAGAGCTGAGTTCACGCTTTAAAATTTTACCTGCAGAATCCACATCAGAGTCCATTAGACTTGTTTGCTTCGGAGTGCCTAATCTAATTCGCTCGGTCCGTCTCTGTTCGCAAATCAAATCGCAGTAGGTGCCCATCCGGTTATCCGCTGGCTACATCCTATCTGTTACCCTGCACTGCCGGGTATAATTACGGCTATCCGAGCCGATAATCATTAGGGTCCCCTTTCGACCCAACAGGCATCCAATATAATTAGTATTTAATGTACAACTTGGTGACATGTACAGTTATTAGCTTCACTATTCGAGCTTTGGACTATCGGAAATACTGTCACACTGGAACTAGTAATTACTGACGCCTCGTTAGAATTTTGGTTGGTAATTGAATAGTAAACAAAGCTTTGATTTTATAGTTTGAATAAATACTTAATAAAGGTTTATAAATAGAAAATATGAGGAGTGTCTGGGGAAGGTAAGGAAAATTCCAGAAACATCTTACACTGGAAAATGGGACTGTAGGTGTGACGACACTCGTAATAATGTATGCTACGTATTTTTGCCAAAACAAACAAGACGAAAAGCGCAAATGATAAAAGCCTTCTGACGTCTGTTGATACAGTTATTAATGCATCTCAACTGCGTCTCTACATCTCTAAGGCCTTTTTAAAAATAGCTTCTACTATATCAGTTTCTTGAAAACGTTAATTATGTGCACTTCGTAGCTTTATTGCTAATTAGTTCAGCGTTGAAAAGTATTGAGAGTTTATTATTTAAAAATAGAACGCAAAAGTATTCTACTTTTTATTTTCATCTAGGATGATGGTATTCCTAAATAAAGGTCTATCAATAAGTAGATTGTCTTTTGAAAGAAAGAAAATATATTTATTTGGTACTAAAAATAGAATGATACACATTGACAATATAAAGCAAAAATAATAAAATTGTTGTTACTAAATTTGTCTCTGCTCAGTTTTCGAGATGTTATTAATAATACAGACTAGTAAACGTGTCTCTTGAGATTTACCTTTGAGAAATTGAAACCTTGCTATTATCGCATCGTTTTCGTCCATTATTATTATATTATTCTTTTACAAGTTTCTTTTTAAGAAAGAAATACGTGATATTTTTGCCAATAAAATAACATCTATTAATAGCTTAACGTCAATTAAGGATTAATGTTTATTGTTTTCTAAAATGACACCCACAATGTTGTTTAGTCTATCGAAGACGTCTATCGAAATGTGTTTTTGAAAAGCTTTCGCCTGAGAAGTCTTCTGCCAACTTGAATTAATAGAGCTGTAACCGATTCGACGCGCTTCAGTTTCGCGGAGTTGTTCAAACAACCTTTGCGCGTGTCAAAGCCAGTAATTAACTCTCGGGTGTTGCTCCTTTTTGTCCAGGATGTTATGAATGCAATTAAAAAGTATTCCAATCACATGTGAATCTCCATCAAATGAAGACAACTTAGATGAGTTTACTTTGAAATTCCAAACATAGACACTTGTCAACATTGAAGACATTTTCCCAAAAGATAAACAGAACGTGTAGCAGTGATATTGATTTCGGATATTCGTGTATGTTTTGCAATGATAATCGCAGTTAAAAACTACTAGTGTTGCGATGCAATGAAATCATTTAGATTACAAAATTACTCAATGTGTTTATGTAAGAAGTGTGAACACGGTTTATTTATTTAAAATTATGTACTTATGAATAAAACGAAGGCAACGAAACTAGTATTGAACTATAAGGTAATATAAATCTATGCGTGCATAAGCCTACTTGTGATTAATTAAAAGTAGACAGTTTAATATGCCTACATTCTTCTTGACGCAAAGTGTTGTATTAATTAATAATCTGATTAACTGCGAGTACTTATTTCATAATGTGCGCAAAATGCTTTTCGCTCTTTTATGTTTACTTAATCAATAACATGAAACCGAAAAATTATGATCATGTCATCATCAAACAATTTTTTATTTGACCTTTGTACGTGTTATAACCAATACTTACTACTAGAGCCTTTTAAGATATTCTCTAAAAAACTTTAGCCGATTATTAGATCAAAGACTAGTTTTGTTTAAAATACTTGCGAGAAGATGTAATAAAAGTATTAACCGTGAATCAAAGATAATCTGATTTTATTCTGCAATCTTGATAATGAATTCAAAAGGACTTAAAGCATTTACATTTTTTCCTGGCGGCTCTTGATGAATGCTTAACTCGTTCAAAGCCGGTTTCGTTGATATCAGATTCAATTAAATGTTGAACTCACTTTCGTTTGAGTTGCGAGATACTTTTTCTAGGTTTATTTTATGTTTTCCGCTGTTATTTCTGTTTGCGCGGATTTTTTTCCGACGCGAACTGTAACTGAAATGTCAATTCATTGTTTGGTCCAGGATGTGATCGGGAGCTTTGTGCTTGGCGTTTTGTTACTAAAATAGCGTGAATTGTAAATCGGTTCAGTGCAAAAAAAAAGATCAGCCGCAACAAAAAGTGTTAGCGTTTATTTTTGAGTTGATTCATAATACGTACGGTATGAATAGAAGAATTTAAAATAAGCACTTTTGTTTGTTGAACTGCTTTTCTTCAATTAATGAGAAATATTTCTTCCTATGTAACTATTGTTAATCCTACTAATTGTTTTATATATCTACCACTATTGCTTTGACACTTATTTACAATTCGCCAAGCCAAATTGAAATCGCGATGCGTACGTTTAACATGCAGCAAGCACAACTATACTTAGCACATGTTCACAACACTTACTATGTAAGAAGCGTCTTCAGACGGCGCGCGCACAGACACAGACTGCGCTGGCGCACAGCGGGCTGCGCTCAGGCGGCACCCCACTCGCGACCCTCCCATCCTACCACCAAACTGACGTGTCCACAAACAAGAATGATACACATTCTTTACCTCCACACTTACGATACACACAGTGGAGCCGTGAACCAAATTACTTTCGTTTTCATGTCCAGCTCAGATTCGATGACAGTGAAAGTTAGGTCAGGGACATACGTCAGATCAAACTGTGAGATAACAAACATGCGTAATTTGACATTTTTAGGAAACATTTGGTTCTATTTAAATATCGTACAAGCATGTCCTGTTGATAGGCTTATATTATAATTAATTAGTTGTCATACGCGTCGGACATAGCTCTATCGGTGGTCCGATAGAGTCCGTAGTTGGTTCTACGTATTACAAAATCAAGTGTTGTTGAACAGGTAGATTCTGCCTAAGGGCTCTTTCAAATAAGACGTCTTGAGCCGGATATTAAGTAGTCCGTTTGCAGCATTTGCAGGGCCTTGGAAATACAAATGATAATAACCAACAGTTAGTGTGTGGTCTTACAAACGCACGACGGATCCTGCTCCAAACGTAGTATACTTAGAATTATTTGAATTTAATTAAAAAAAAAATTCATTTTTTCACAAATAACGATTGTTCCGTTAGTCCCTTGTGCTAAGCTAAGTAAACATGCGTGTTTTACAAGTGGACTCGCCACAATATCGAGCGCGGTGGGATTCGAACCTGCGTTCCTCGGATCTCAAGTCGGCCAGTCCAACCCCTTCACCGTTCGGCTATCGTGTCTATATTCTGAGAATTAATCCCATGTAATCCGTCGAGAATAGGTAAATTTTATTCAAAGTGACTCTTCTTTGAATTATTTTCGGAGATAAGTAACTTAGCCGTGTATCAAAGAATCTCTTTGTATAAATTATTAATGAAATATGTTTATCCTAAATATCATAAGTTTAAGAGGCTTTCAGTTTTAACATTGGAAATGTAAAGAGCATAAACGACGTCATTTTAGTAAACAGCGACACCAAGAAGCACTTAATAAAACTCTTTATACTGTAATGTCATTGCCGTCTTGGTAAAATGCTAAGAACAATTTTATAAAGTGCCCAGTATTACTTATACTTAAAAACCAACAAGACACTGCTACCTTTGTCATTCATTGCGTGTAGCTTTCTTATGTAGTCTTTAGTGCGTTAAAAGAATTTAAAACATGAAACTTCAAACATTAATAATAAACGCCCAAGGCTGCGTGGTGACGATGCGTCATTCCGTGACCGAGCTCAAGCCTTACTTAATAAAGCTGAGCTGAACGCAGACTGTGATAATGATAAGCCAAAATTAGGGGCGAAGAAGGCGACTCATCGCACAATGTAGTGTTACGTGAAACATGCAAAGCTACTTTCAACCCTTCTACATCTTGATATCCATTACGCAAGAGACGAAAAAATGTGGTTCAAAATGACGTCACTAAACCCCACACACCTAAAATCCAAAAGATTGATTACAAGACAACAGTAGCTAATAGCAAACAGGAAATATGTCGTCTATCGAAGGAATAAATCAAGATAATGTACTCGCAATTATTATGTCATGTAGGTACATCGGTTCTGCTGACAGTCTTCCTACACCATGATGGAGTGTAGGACGAAGGAATCCGGTATCATTTATAATAAAATTTATTACGCTCATTACATAACTAATTTGATGAGAAACTTATCAAGGATTATTTTTTGTTTTTGGAAACCCACTGACACTGATGGACAATGAAAGCAATCTATTTAATATGAAATCATTTGAAAAACTTTTGTGACATTAATAGTTGTTCCAATTCACGAAGGCGTTTGAGCTTTACATGTGTGGTGGCTCGCTAGTGTCCGTTTTTCAAAAGTTTTGATAGACATTAACACTATAGTTATGTCAATTTTGTGCATGTACACGTACCTACACACACAAGTAAAGCTCACTCGCCTTAGTGAGTTGCAAGAACTATGTGCCTACCATGAGTTTACGTTAGGTGAGCTCGCTAGCGAATACGTCAAAAAATTATATGAAGATTTTATTTCTTGAAAGTAGCCGCTAGGGGCGCTGCACAATATGTCATACATCTAAATGTCATTTTTTTACGCAGTCGCTAGCGAGCACACCTAACGTAAACTCATGGTAGGCACACTATACCTACTAATTACTATCTGACGAGCAGAAGTAAAAGGGAGTGATAAAATAGATTAAAGTAATAAAACTGAGTTATGTTGTGTGTCCTGATTAGGTCTATTTAAATTAGTGTGTGCCAGACGACCATAAACTGCTACGGTATGAGGCATGACCTACAAACCTCATGTATTCAAACTCAAACGTGTCCAGCGATCTGTCTTGAAAATAGCATAAGCGGCCTAGATAATATATTGAATATAATAATAAATAACACGGTACAACAGTTCAGAATATCTCCTGCCTATAGGTCACCGGTAGACTGTGGTGGATCGGGATCTTCTTCATACTAAAACAAACATAGTAAACAAACACCTCATAATATTCGGCCTAATAATCACTTTCCATCAGGTGAGGCCAGGCACCTCTAGAAGAAAATTTTCCTCATGAAAATTGAGAAGAGTGGTCACCACTACACATGGAATTCTAGTGTGATGTCAAGAGAAGTTGTTAGTTATTCCAAAAGTGTGAAAAATATGCCCCATAATGCTTACGGAATGGTAAAATTGTCATTCACGCTTATTTACTATAAAAATAGTCCAAAAACAATACGTAACTTTCATACACGGCAATGACTGACACAATCAGTAGTTGGGTAGTATTGTTAACACGATTGTGCAACTTCAATTTTATTGTTTTCGGGTTATTTATGTCTTCTTAATGAACTAACTTAATTAGTTGATGAATATAGTATTGCGAAAGTTAAATACACAACATCTACAGGGTGGAAACGATAAGTGATCTCACTCGATTATTTCTAAACTATACATGTATTATTTGTATAGTAGAGATTAATTTAAATTGTGTTCAATTATTAAATGTGCGTTGGAATATTAATATTTTGTTGTGGAACTTTCGAGCAATAAGCTTTCATTAGAGACGGCGACCAGCCACGTGGAAACTTATGCGCTTCAATGAAGACGAATGATATTTACAACGCGAATATCGCATCTCTATGACTTTTATATCACTTAAGATTTCTGTATTCATATTACAGACACCCTCAACATATTACATTTTAATATATTTTGTAAAGAAATGTAAGAAGATTTTCAATTTGATTAAACATTTCTATTTGATTTGTTGGAGCGGAATAATCGTATTGACATGTCTAAAAAAGGAATATAAGATTAGAAATAAATTCTATTTAACTAGGCATAAAATCGAGGGCGAAAGAAAGTCACCTTAACTTTAAAAGTACTTTCGGTGTGTCAATAATGTTAGAAAATGTGTGTTTAAAAAATATACTATGGTCGAACCTACGACCGCTGGTTTTGTGTTCAGGGTCAGTAACCAGACGTCCGTTTTTAACGGTCTAGTGAATTGTACTCGTTTAATTTTAAACTAATAACGCCCTTGTCGATTCAAATTGATGTTTACCTTGCCAAATAGTTCAAAATTGTTACCATCCGGCGGGTAAAGGATTTTTTGTTCGAGTTGTGAGTAATGATGATTGTTTATGTGGGTCTACTAATTCTTCTAAAAAAATTAAGGTGAGCCCAATCACTTCCAGTAATAATTACCTACTAGAAATGTTAATCCCTAGATTTTAGATCTGTTAGATCTAGAATTATAGTAGAGCTTAATTATTTTTATCTAATTGGTTTCATTTTATTTTGTAAATTGATGTTTATTCCCAAAATGTATAATGTATAATGCTAATAGAAGTTTATAAATATTTAACTTAGCTCTACACCAACTTCCCTATTACAAATCCATCTCTATCCAAATTTTAAATACCGTGACGATATTAATATAAACTTTGCATAACTTAACTTGCTCTGTTACGAAACCGTTGCCTACCAACTCTAATTATGTCACTTTTATCATAATGATAACGTTTTTGTTTTGGGCAATTTTCATCTGTGTGCTAATAGAAATAGAGTTTTATTTTTCGTATCGATTTCGGTCATGTTTAGTTGTATTGATATTTTGGACGTTTTTTTAGGTACTAAGTATTCGACTACACACTACGGCTTTCTCTTCCGGCAGTTTGGGAACAATTAGGCTGCTCACGTTATTCCTTTTTTTACGTCCAACATATTATTTGAATTTGCGACACATTGTCGGATGCGTTTCGCAACTCGCTCTAGAACTCGATACTTTTTCGAAAGTAGTTTAGTAACTTTTCTGAAATTCCAGTAGACACAAGTACGATAAAGAATTACTAGGCTTAAAATTGTAAGCTCATTAAGATGTGTTTGCAACCTATGCCCTTAATCAAAAACTTTTATAACCGTAGGTTAAGTGAAAGATCTAACATGTTAAGTATTGTCAAAAGTAATAATTAGTTTTATTTCGAGTGCAATGCTTACGTAACTGTTTTCTAATCTTGCATGCTGTGTCGCTAGGCATACGGCTTATGAGAGTTTATAATACAAAAAAGTACTCATTTGTTTTAGTCAAATCGAGATGAGTAGTAACTAGGTATAACATGTAATTTGTTATGCATTAACAATTTCTTTTACGTTAAAGCGCTAAAAATGGAAACTTTACAAATGTACTGGATACTTATACCATAGTGTAATAATGAGTAGGTATCGCATACTTACTTATACCATATTACACATTTTATTTCAAGAAAGATTGTTTTTATCCTGTTTCTAACTAATCCTACTAATATTATAAATGCGAAAGTTTGTATGGATATCTGGATGTCAGGATATTTGTTACTCTTTCACGCAAAAACTACTCAACGGATTTTGATAAACTTTACAGTATTATTGTTTATAACCCAGAATAACATATAGGCTATAATGTATGACGATCTGTGGCAAACTAAATTTCACGCGG